GGTTTATTATTCTCGCAATTTTTCCAATTATTGTAACTGCTCACAGTTTGTGGTAATAATTAGGATTTATTTTCCGCCTTTTCTATTATGTACCTCTCCCAAAGCCGTGTAATAGCTTAGGGTTTATTTTCCGCATTTATGTTTTGCACTTTACTATTTTTCATTATTGCTATATTATTACTATTAGTAATTAGGTCATGTATGGCAAGATAAAAATAAAACGGTAGCAAACCCTAATTGCAAGATTAAGATAACTGAATCATAAAACACATGCACACTCACACCTCTAGGATAACCTCCCTTGTTGCCTCGGAAAAATAGTCATGTCCCTCGAAAGTGAGGATGCTTTAGCACAGTCCCTCTAAAATAAAGACCGTAGTCTCTCGATGACCCTTTCGATGTTGCCTTCGGTAAATGATCTAATCCCTTTACGAAATTGCTAAAGTGTCCTTACGAGTTGCCTTCGATGACTATGCGATGATCCACGCATGTCCCTTTGTATCCAATGATAGGACTACCTACTAACTAATGATAGGATAGAACTATCTAAAGGAGGAGAAAAAGTACTAGAAATACCTTGAGTAGGTAAAACGCTCATAATCGCTTGCTCACAAATTTTTCAAAACAAAATGTTTTCACATCACACTTTCAAAACGAAATACTTTCAAACAAACACTTTGTACGCATTCTTGAGGGCTGATACAAGAGTCATTACAAAGTTCACCTTACATTGGTGTTTTCAAAATATTTTCAAACACACGCAAAAAAGTCAAATTTTCAAAGTGAGCTAAGCGATTAAGAGCCCGTAGATAACTACGGATGAAAAGGGTACTAACACCTTCCATTTTCATAACCTACCCCTCGAACTCAAAAATCTCAAGGTCCATCTTGTTCTTTTCACTCTTTCCTTATTGGATAAAAGGAAAGTCGGTGGCAACTCTAGCTATCCGCAACATTTGCGATAAAACGTAAAACCAAGTCAGTTCTCCCACTGTATAACAGTTATCATCCAGAAGTTTCAGCAATTGTTGTATTTTAGTTTTTTCCCCTCTTATCGCCTTATTGTTTCAGAAACGAATATTGTATACTTGCTTGATATTTAAGATATTTTTAGGTCTTTTATGTTTCAAAGTTGTAAGTATGTTTTTGGATTGCACCATGTTCAATGTCGTGAAAAAATGATTTCCTTATCTTCAAGCATAAAGAGACATGCAATGGAATGACTGGCTAACTTATGACATATGTCATATTATGTGTATCACAAATCACATTAAATCTCCATTTATTATTTGCCAAAAGATATGCATGCAACTTAAAAAGACACTCACATTTCCTCGAACCTTTGTCATCTTGTTTCAACTTTCGGATAGAAGTTGTGTACTTGCCACTTTTTTTGTATCTCAAGTATCACAAATGCATGTCTTCTATCTGAATCATTATTTGACCTTCTGATCACAACATAAAACCTCAATTTGTCTGCCTCTGAGTGGATCCATTAGAGCATATGATCATGAACAACAAACTATTGTCTATTTATAAATTAGTTGCCAACATCTACCTTGACATCAACAGGTTTGGCATCCTTATACACAATAGGTTTGGGAAAAACATCACGGTGCACTATATCTAAGGTCAATCATAACAGAAAATATTAAAAACAAAATGACTAGACTGGATTGAACTAATCTAGAAATACATTTTTGTATTCGTTCACCTAGAAATCAAAAATTTATTTTCGGGCTTAACGTTCATTTTTTCAGCTCAGTAACCAGATTAATTTAAGTAATAAGGAGGAAAATGCATGAAATTTACCTTAAATCCTAACTCTTTTTTTGCTAATTTTTATGTGATAAAACACAAGAAAGATGTATTGGAGTGGAGAAGTTGATTGACAATGGAATGATATTTTTTAAAGATTTTAAAAGAAAAAATGGTCTTTTATCATGAAGAAGAAGAACATGCAAGGTCATGTTTTATTAAGTTTTTTGCTTGACAATTTCGAAAATACACTTCAAGAACTATCACTAACATGCGAAGATGACATTTTTCACATTTCCACTTCACAAATCTGAAAGTATACATTCGGATTTGTCACTGAGTTGTTAAATTAACAAAATTCTTGATGCGGTGGGTCCGAAGATGCATTTTCAGACTAAATTTTAAGGAAAATTAGGTGTGTCTCACTTATGACATGTTTTAGTGAGAAAAAGATACGTCCGAAAATATAGTTTCATATTCAAAATGACATTTTTAGATTTTCATATTGTGATTCTTCACCGCTTGGAGTGCAAGAAGCAATCCCCTTTTTATAAAATGGAGAGGAAAAATGAGGCTTAATTTGACAAACTATGGTGCTACAATTAGATCTATTTTTGGAAAATTTTACACCAATACCCCTATATTGAATTTTTTTGACCAAAATACCCTCATATAAAAAGTTTATTTGTCTCATTTTTTCAACTTTCCATCATTTATGTTTCAAAATTTTGATATAGAAAAAAATTATCATTCCAGAATACTTTTTGGAAATGTTCCGGTTGAATATCATTCGTATTTCAAAAATTCAAAAAAAAATATGTAAAAAGTGTTCCGATTAAATGTATTATTAAGACGAGACATCTTTAAAAAAATGTTTCGAATAAAAAAAAATTTCAAAATGAGTTTCAGCAACAGTTCAATACTATGGTCTAAAATAATGAAATTGTTTTTGTTGTCTGACCTGTGGTACCAGATTCTTTTGGCAACGTTTAGAGTGATATTTCAACTTTGGGAAGAATATGTTTAGTTTAGGCAGCATTTTAAACGGTTGCCAAAACTTGTTTTAGAAAGAAAATTCTATCCGACCATTTTCAAAACGTGTTCTGAAATGACAATTTCTTTATCGAAACACTTTTAAAAAAAGTGTTTCGATATGATAATTTCTTTACCTAAACTTTTAGGCCACGATTTTAAATTGTTACTTAAACTCATTTTAATAAAAGTTCTACCCAAAACACTTTCAAAAGTGTTCTGGAATGATACATTTTTTCATCGGAATTTCAAAACATAAATAATAGAAAGGTGGAAAAATTAAACAAATAAACTTTGTATATGAAAGTATTTTAATCAAAAAAATTCAACGGAGGGGTAGAGAAACAAATGTGGAATATGGGGTAAAAATTTCCTGTTTTGTACTTAATAAACATTGTTTTATTTTCTTTCAGTTCAGAATCAGAATTATCTACTCTCATATCCCACATTAACATTTATTTAAATCAATTTTACAGGGAATTTAGCTTATATTGTGCTTGGCTTTTATTCCATTGATTCCTATGAGGTATGATCAATTCATTGTTTTATTGTTTAATTTGACCTATTAAAATGAAAATGTACTTATCCCTTGCTATGCCTTTGATTCTATATTTTGATTATCTAGTTTTAACTGATTTTAGTTATTATTTTTAACAAAGAAAAATATGCATTCATGAAACTTGATGAAAAGTTACCGAAAATCTGTAATGTGTGTTATAGAGAGGAAATATAATGGTTATTTTTAAAATATTATCTTAGATATTTTATTATTTTATTAAAATATTTTTTAAATATCAAAATAAATAAAAAACACTTTATTTTGAAATTATTTTACATAATTTTTCATAAAAACTATTTTTGAAATACAACTTTTTTAGAATAATTACAACTTTGAGTGTGTTTTGATTTTTAATAGTATATGTTTATGTTATAAGATGTCAAAATTAATCTTTCAATTTAAAAAAAAAAACAAATATAATTTTTTTTTTATAAAATCCATTTTTAAAAATACAAAAAAAAAAAATTAAAACTAAAACAAACACTTCCTCAGTATAGTGGTTGCAAATATCATTTTTATTCAAAAAAAAAAACATGTAACAGTTGACTTATGACTAATTGATAACCATAAACAGTAGTAGTTATTGGAAACTTACGATCCATTGAGGAGGATCTACAACTATAACCATAACAAAATTGTTTTTCCCAAATAAAGTGAGTCAAGTTATAACTCAGCCTTCTCTTTAACACTAGAATATTATCTTGCTCTTGAGATATCCACTTAACAAAGTATCAGGTAGCTTCTTATTAAGTTTTCATATTTGACATAATTCATTCTTACAAGGGTTTTCTTTATAAACACTTGTCTGAGAAAATGCTCGGCGAGGACCATACCATACATACCAAGGATATTTATATAGCGAAAATGCTCGACCAGCAGTGTTTCTCATGTTCCAATCATTGGACAAATAGTTGCCGGCCCTCACAAAGCCATTCTCTACCTTCAAATTCTATTTGATTCAAGAAATACTTAAAGTGGTGTCTACTTCACAACATCCCTGAGTTTGCTGTGGTTTAACATACAAAGCTTCTCAACCAGAAACTTAAATATGATTCTCAGTCTATGTGCTCTTGAGAAAATTGGCCATAGACTAATTCACAGCTAAACCAGACAGACCAACACAAAACAAGAGACAGACAACTCCGACTATGCAATCAACTCAATAAATGTAAGCATAGAACATTAACACATCCTATTGCATATTCTAGTTTGACTAAAAAAAAACTGCATTTTAAGTTTCACTCATCTTCTATGATTCAAAACCATGTCCGGTTAAGATGTCAATTTGACCTTTGTTTCAAACTCGGGTACTTTGTTTTCGCATGCAATTTCAGTGGTTTGCTAAAAGGCCAATCAAAATGTCCACCAACGAAAAAATGCTTCTATAGAAGGTGCTAGACAGAGACAAACATGAACTAGAACAATCAATGATAACACACAAGTACTAACTCATCAACCAATTACCTCATCAAACATACAGAGAACCGTATTCATTCACATACTAAACCTCCATTGGTGATCAAACTCGGTAATCAAGCATATTTATTAAGACACTTAACATTAAAGCAAGGAAAACAGACAGTACATATTGAGGAAGCTCTCTTAAGTTTGAGCCACAAAACACCCACCTCTTCGATCAGGAACTCACAAGTCATTCTTTCTTTCCTATTCCAAGTGACATATTGTAGATCCCTCGACCCTGAAATAAAGGTATAGAACAATGTCAAAAAAGACTCCAACTCGAAGATAACTTCAAATTGGGAAAGTTAATACAGATTCTTCGAAGATTTCTAACTTACAATCAGAAACAATGAAGTTCCTGCGAGAGCAATTGGTATTGCTACCGATGTAACCTTATCCAATGGCCCTTTCAGGTAGGTGTGTTTTGGGATATTCTGGAAATACTTTTGCTTCTCAATAATCTTCACGCGTGGTCTAAAGGGTGGTTCCACTTCCGACATCCTGCATAATCTAGTATATATTTGTCATTGTTCTATTAAACAAACTGATTAACATCATCAAATAAAAGATCTCACCCTAATCAGTATACTGTAATAATTCATAGCAATTAGTTATAGAACAACGAAACCCTAAAAACAAAAAGGGAATAGAATGAATATAAGGAAGGTAGCGCGTGGAGACTAAAAGCTTACTTTGAACGACGGATAAAGCACGACGGTTGTTGAAGAGAAAATGGGTCTTCGATGGATGTGGCTAAGACAGCTTACAACTCAAAATACAAATAAATGCTTCCTAGATTCTTCTTGTAATAATATATTCCTTTTTTAATGGGGTAATGTCTTTTATTATTTTATTCTATTTTATTTTTAAATTAAGTAAAACATTAATTATTTTTTTAAATATTGAAATTATTAATCTGACTCTTTATGTTTTTTATTTTGTTTCTTTGAGAATATCTGACCCCTCAAATTTATCAACGGTAAATTACATAATTATGGGTTTATTTGTTTTAACTTTAAAAAATTGATTTTCTTTTATATTTTTAAAAACGGATTTTATAAAATTATTTTTAAAAATATTATTGATATTCATGATCAAATCATCAAGCATATATATACTTCTTTGAAGTAATATTGTTTCTATATATCTATAAGGACCACAAAGTAGTCAACTATATTAGACAAAATTTCTTCTTCTTTATCTTTTCCATTAAAATTTGAGTGAACATAATCTTCCATATTCTTTATATCCAAACAACCATAGATGCTAATCCAATCTTGTACATGAGGGAATTGTAGTTCACAAAGGTGTGCAACGAATTCCGATTGAGGCTAAGAATGCTTTGCGGGAGTAGTTCGTGGACGACTTAGTATGATGTATTTTTAGATTATATATTTTGTTTAACATATTTAAATACTAATATCTTGAGTATATATATTTTTAGTATTTTTTGAATAAATTAAAGATAAACATAGACAAAACATGTGTTTTAGAGTAAAATATATGTTTAGATTCTATAATATAAACACAAACTAAAGAAATATTTTACACGTTCAGAGTATATTGTTGGAAATAATTTATATTTTAAGAATATTTAGGAATATCTTTTTATATCTTTATTAGAGGATATTTTAGTATTATTATACCTTAATTTTGTGTATAAATAACCTAGTAGTAGGTAGGTCAATGCAATTTATTGTAAACTCATTATTCCTTATTTTGTAGCTGTCATTAAATATATTCCTTTTGTCTTTCGTCTCTCCTTTATGCACTAACAATTGGTATCAGAACTCTGGTTCGAAATCCACGGGAAAACACGAGAAACACGAATGAACAGCGAGGTTGCAATTTTCTGATCCTCTAAACATTTTTTATTGAGTTTTTGCGTAAATTGCACAAGGTTGAAAATGAACGGAAACGACAGTGATATCAATTCCAAGCTTCTAGTATTTGATGGCAAAAACTAGAATCGTTGGAAGATCCGGATGCGTGTCTTGTTTGGCTCTCAAGATGTGTTAGATCTTATCACCGATGATTAGGATCTGTTAGCAGCAGACGCAACAGAGGCCTGGAAGATAACGTAGAAGGCGATAAGGAAGAATCATCAGAAGGCGTTGTTCTACATCTATCAATGTGTGGATGCGAACGTGTTTGAGAAGATTGTTGACTCTGAAACAGCGAAGGCTGCGTGAGACACACTGGTCAGATGTTACGGTGGTGACGCATCAGTGAAAAAGGTAAAACTTCAGTCTCTCAGAAAGCAATATGATAATCTCAACATGAAAGACAACGAGAAGGTTTCTGAGTACATCTCTAGAGTGATTCTGATTACTAAGGAGATGAAAGCTTGTGGAGAAACCCTTTCTGAACAAGTAATCATTGAGAAGATCTTGAGATCTTTAACTTCTCAGTTCGATTACATTGTGGTAGCAATTGAACATTCCAAAGATCTGATCACCATGAGAGTTGAAGAGCTACAAAGTAGCCTAGAGGCGTATGAGTTGTGTATGACTGCGAGAAATTCTGAGAGGGAAGTATAGCAGCAGGCTCTGAAAGTAACTTCTGGTAAGAAGTATCAGAAGCAGACTTGGTCAGAAGCTAGGAAGAAAATAATGGTGGTCAAAGGTCAAAAGCTTCAAACTCTGATAGGCAGAAGAATATCCAGAAAGGAAAAGAAAAGTCTGACAAGAAGAATGTTCAGTGTTACTGTTGCAAGAACTTTGATCACTATGCCAAAGATTACTGGTCAAACAAAGAAAGGAAGTCAGAAGAAGCAAATATAGTCAGAGGAGAGTCTGATGATGAACCTGTGCTATTGTTGGCTTCTGAACTTGATAATATGAATTCATCAGAATAGTGGTATATGGACACAAGGTATTCAAACCATCTTACTGGAAACAAGAAATGGTTTGTTGATTTTAACTCTGGGAATAGTACAAAGATCAAATGTGATGATGATAAATACCTCAATGTAGAAGGTATGGGAAATGTTAGAATCATTCTAAACAATGGGAAAGTGGCAGTGATCCATAATGTATGGTATGTACCTCACATGAAAATCAATTTGATGAGTGTCGGACAATTGATTGAGAAAGGTTTTTCGGTTACCATGAAGGACAATCTTCTGAAGCTATATGACTATAATCAGAAGCTGATTATGGAGTCAGAACAGGGAAGGAACAGAACATTCAAGTTGAATGTTAGAACTGCAGACTCTGAATGTCTTAGTGCAACGAGTGTTGTCAAGGAGAGTGAGATGTGGCACAGAAGATTTCGTCATTTGAATTTCAGAAGCTTAGGACACCTGAAATCAAAGAAGCCGGTACATGGAATTCCTACAATCAAGAAGCCTGAGAAGTCATGAAATGTGTGCATGGAAGGGAAGAAACCAAGATTACCATTTGCATCAGAAGTAGCTCCAAGAGCAAAGCATGCCTTGGGAGTAGTGCAATTTGATGTGTGTGGTCCATTTCCAATAGCATCGATTGGAGGGAATAAATACTCTGTGTCATTTGTTGATAAGTTCACCAGAATGACATGGGTATCTCTCATAAAGTTCAAACATGAGGTGTTTGCTGAATTCAAGAAGTTCAGACTAAATGTTGAGAATCAGAGTGGCCAGACTCTGAAGATTCTCATAACTGATGGTGGTGGTGAGTATAACTCCACAGAATTCAGAAGGTTCTGTGAGGAGAATGGAATTGAGCATGAGTTTAATGCTCCCTATACTCCTAAACACAATGGTCTTGCTGAAAGAAGAAATCGTACTTTTATTGATATGGTGAGAAGTATGTTGAAAGAGAAGAAGCTTTCTCATACTCTGTGGGGAGAAGTTGTTGCCACTGCATGTTATATGCTCAACAGATGTCCAACGAAGAAATTGAAGAAAATAGTTCATATTCAGAAGTGGACTGGAGATAAGAAAAGTGTTAGTCATCTGAAGGTGTTTGGTTCTATGTGTTACAACCATGTTCCAGAAGCCAGAAGATAGAAGTTGGATGATAGAACTAAAGTAATGTTACCGGTGGGGTACCACAGTACAGGTTCGTAAAAACTTCATTGTCCATAAACTAGAAAAGTTGAGTTCAACAGAAACGTCATTGTAAAAGAATCAGAAGTCTAGAATCGGGAAAGGTCTCGTCCTAACTCTGATGAGAGAGCTCCTGAAGAAAAGTTAGAAACACGTGTTTCTGAAGTTGGTAAAGACTCTGACTCTGAAGAAGATACAGAAGGTGAAGATGATTATGAATCTGACTCCGATGGTAATTCAGACTCTGGGAATTTTCCAGACTCTGAAGACAGTCAAGGTTCTGGATAAAGTCCAATTTCTGAAGTAAGAGCTTCTGAAGGGGAAAGTTCCGGTGTCCGAGGTTCTGAAGTTCAAATTCAGAGGCAACAAAGAGTCAGAAGCATCCCAAGAAGATTTGCAGAGTTTGATATGTTACAAGAGACTGAAGTAGACTCTGAAGGAGAAGTTATTCAATTTGCAATGTTAGTAGACTCTAAACCCGTGAGCACAAAAAAGGCTCTTAAGTAGCAAGTTTAGTTGTCGTCCATGAAAGAAGAATTTGATGTTATAGAGAGAAACAAGACTTGGAAGCTCACCAAACTTCCAAAAGGCAAGAAAGCCATCAGCAGAAGCTAAAGCCAGATGGATCAACTAGCAAACATAAAGCAATATTAGTAGCAAGAGGCTTTCTACAGAAGCCTGGGCTGGATTACTCTGAAGTGTTTGCACCTGTAGCGAGACATGAAACAATCAGACTAGTGATTGTAATAGCTGCTAACAGGAATTGGCCTCTGATGCATTTAGATGTAAAATATGCATTTTTGAATGGTCCATTACAAGAAGAGGTATACGTGTCACAACCTCCTGGATTTGAGAAAGAGAATCAGGAAGGGATGATGTTCAAATTACACAAAGCCTTGTATGGATTGAAGCAAGCGCCCAGAGCCTGAAATTTGAAGATTGATTCATTTTTCAAGGGACAGGGGTTTCAGAAGTGTGAGATGGAGTATGGTGTTTATGTTCAGCACATTTCAGAAGGTAATATGATTATGGTATGTTTGTATGTTGATGACATATTACTCACAGGAATTTCTGAACAAGAGATAGTTGAGTTCAAGAAGGTTCTGATGAATGCGTTTGAGATGACAGATCTTGGGAAAATGAGTTTCTTTCTAAGGATTGGGTTTATGTACTCTGAGAAAGGAATCATTTTGCATTAGATGAGGTATAAACTTGAGCTTTTTAAGAGATTTAAGCTAGAGAATTGCAAAGTTGTTGTCACACCTGCTGATACGAATCAAAAGTTGGACTCTGATTCTGATGGAGAGGATGTGAATGCTACAACCTTCAAATAAATGGTTGGTTCTCTGAGGTATTTGTGTAATACCAGACCTGATATTTGCTATGCAGTTGGAATGGTTAAAATATTCATGAGTAAACTAAAGTGGTCTCATTACCAAGTTGCTGTCAGGATTTTGAGGTGTGTGAAGGGAACTTTGAAGTATGGAGTGTTATTTCCTTCTGGAAGAAAGACTGAATCTTAACTTCTAAGTTATTCAGACTCTGATTTGTGTGGAGACAGAGTTGACAAAAGAAGTACTTCTGGATACTTATTCAAATTTCTAAGAAGTCTTATTTCTTGGTGTTCCAAGAAGCAACCTGTTGTTGTGCTGTCAACCTGTGAAGCTAAATATATTGCAGGAGCTCTGACTGTATGCCAAGTTGTGTGGATTCTGAACTTGCTGCAAGATCTGAAGATTGAGGTAAATAAATCTCTGAAGCTAATGAGTGACAACAAGTCTGCAATCAATCTTTCCAAGAACCCAGTGTTGTATGGGAGAAGCAAGCACATTGAGACCAAGTATCACTTTCTGAGGAATCGGGTTCAGAGTGAAATATTAGAAGTTGTGCACTGTAGTACCCAGAAGCAGCTGACAGGTGTTCTAACAAAGGCTATCAAGACTGATCAATTTTTTCGTTTGAGAGATGGAATTAGTATTGTCAGTTTTGTGTAAATATAAATTAAGGGATGGTTTTGGAAATAATTTATATTTTAGGAATATTTAGGAATATCTTTTTATATCTTTGTTAGAGGGTATTTTAGTATACCCTAATTTTGTGTATAAATAGCCTAGTAGTAGGTAAGTTAATGTAATTTCTTGTAAAGTCATTATTCCTTATTTTGTAGTCGTCATTAAATATATTCTTTTTGTCTTTCATCTCTCTTTTGTGCACCAATATATATAATATAAATCTGTATAAAATGTGTCAATTATAAATTTGAATTATAGAATTTTAACATTATCAAGAGATGGCTATCTAATGTAGTGTCTATATTGCACAAATAGTTTATGTAGATTATAATGTGCATAAATTTTTAAACAGTAATCTCTTACCCATACCAGATTAAAACGAACATGCCATATTTGTAATTTACTACAACAATGTGACTTATTCCCATCTATTTAAAATCAACGTTGATGTTATAGATAGTGATTTGAAAGACCAATTGGAGCAATTAAACCGTCATCTCAACCACTATGACGTAATAAGGGTGGTTAGTGTTAAGTATCAATTTTCTTTAATCCATAATGATTGATGTGTTTGTAACTCTAACTTGCAATTTAAAAATGATGATGGTGTGAAAATCATATTCTCAATATTTAATTAGTATTTTACAAATGATCAATCAGTTAGACACTACCTTAGTAATATTTGTATGTGCTATCTATTCAAACTTGATTCGGCCCCAAAACATTTGATGGAATTAACACATGCATGGTGAACCCAATGAAATAATTAATTTGTCTGTTCTTGTTTGAGTTTAATTTATGTTGATGTATTATTTTTTGGTTGATGTATTATTTTTGTTGGTATACTATGGTGTTAAATTTAATTTGATTAAGTGAAGTGTTTGTACTCAATATTTTGTTTACTTGATTCACTATATTTGATATTGGACACCATAAAACACACATTCTGAACCTTATAACCTTAATAACATTTGAGCATTACTTTATCCACTTCATTGGACGCTAGTTCACTACAGTGAAATGACAAAAATATCTATAGACTCCGGAGATATATCTCTGGACGCACCCATATTAAACACTCTTAGTTTTTTTGAGTGAGTCACCCCATATTTCCCATAAAAATGTCAGAAGATACATATTTGTGTTCATATTAGGGTTAATCCAGAGGTACGTCTCTATGATAACCCTGATTTTAAAACTCAATAAGTTTTATGAGATACATCTTCCCTATGTGCCTCCAACTCTTGGAGAAGTTATTGACGGACAAATGTGTGGCTCTCTTATCCTTTGTTGAGAAAACCCAAAATAACTCAAAAATTACAGTTGTCATCACCTTTAACATTAACCATTCACTTGATGCATTTGTGCATAAAAACATCATCTCTTCAATGTGGATGATTTATGGTAATTGTGGTAAGGGAGATGGTTCGCTAATGCGAGCATCCTTGAAAACATTTTTTTGAGATTTCAGAGTTAGAGAATTTGGAAAACATGAGTCAACAAGTTAAAAGTAAAAAGGAGACCGCTTTGTAGAATTGTCACTCTCCGTCGATTTAACCTTTTTAGGGGCACTTTCGTTTTAATCTGTTTTGAGGATGGTATCAAAGTCGTTTTTGGATAGGAAATCTTCCTTAGTTGCTCATTGATATGCAATTTTATATTGTCATCATCTTTCATATATCTCTCGTGGATCACTTTCCATTCGGTCATGATAGATATATTTGATTTACCATCCTTCATCACACCATCATCATCAAACCAGGGGATTTTCTAATGAGTGTAAATATCATCCCAACGTATCAATTTAACATCTTTCATTTTCTTTGTAATTATACAATCACATGGAAGACAGTACGTCTTTTTAAGTGTACAACCATACTTTGAACCATGTGATCTTATTTTCTCTGCTCACTTGGCTTCGTGATAAATAAAATGCAATCTCGTTTAAGAGATGTTGCAGCCAATTGTGAGTAAAAGATATTATCTTAAAATCAGTGTTCTAATACAGTAATGCTCCGACCAAAAGACATTTGTATCTCGTTATGTTGATTTCAAATCATTTGGCTCACAGAGTTCCAACCTCTACAAAAATCACCTTTATTATTTCCTGACCAATTATTCACAGTAGCATGTGCAAATTCAACTTTGTTAGTTGTTGTATTATCAAAGTGTCTAACTTGATCAGACCAAGCACAAACAACTTTCTCCTTCACCTGGTCTAGAATTGTTCTCTCAATATATTTCAGGAAATCTAGATCTCTTGCACACACCCTCCTAAATTGAATGACAAATACTTTATATAACTCTTCTATGACCATTTTACCATACACCAACTTTGACCATTTTACCATCTTCACCTTTGATTTGTTTAGTCCCTACTATATGTTTAAGTCTGTTTCTCACATTTTTGGTTATGTGATACCTACAAAGTAATGCATAGGATGTAGGAAGCACATTTGCAACTGAATTCATTATTGCGGTATTGTGAGTGATCATTGCCATATTTCCTTTGTCCTTCAACATAGTCTTTCTCACTTCCGAAGCCCATGTAATGTTGTCCTCTTTTTTGCTTTCCAAAAATGCAAAACCCACGGAAAAAGTCATCTTCGCTGAAGTAACACCAGCAATTTCTAAAAGTGGAAGCCTAGACTTGTTTTTTTATGTAGAATCAATTATAAGCACAGTGAAAAATGTGTTGAAAAATTTGATGGAATGGTGATGAGTCCAAAAGATATCTTGAACAGTGGCTCCATCCTCACACACTTTGTACCTAGAAACATAGTGATCTTCATCCAGAAGCTTCAATAGTTGTTGCATTTCAGTTCTTGGTCCTTTTATCACCTGGTTGATTACGACATAAACATTGTATATTTTCTTGATATTTGAGATATTTTTAGGTCTTTTTCATATCAATGTTTTAAGTATGTTTTTGGTTAGCGCCATATTCAATGTCATGTCAGAAATGATTTTCTTCTCCTCGGGATTAAGGCGACATACAATAGGGTGATTGGCTAAATTGTCACACAAGTAATGATTATGTATACCATAAACCACATTAAATTTCCATGTAATATCAATCTTAGGGTATCCACGAACCTTAAAATGACAATTACACTTGCTCGATTTGGTGTTATCCCATTTCAACTTTCAAATAGGTTGTTGGTACATGCCACCTTTTTCCCGTCTCATTTTTACAAATGAATGTCTTCTATCAGAACCATTATCAGACCTCTCAATTACAACACTAAACCCAATTTTGGGAACCTATGTACGGGTCCATTGGGGTATATATTCACGTTCAACACATTCTTGTTTAGTTATAAATTGTTCACAAATGTCTACCTCGGCAACAACAGGTTTAACATTCACCTTGACATTGTTGGAACAAAATTAGTTTATTCCAAATCCCTTAGGATTTAATGATAATAAAGTATTTAAATAACAATTTGGTATACTAGTGTATGTTCAAGTATGCAGGTGCAAAGGTCAATATACTTATTGGAAGTCAGTTCTGAAGCTGCACTGAACATTGAAAGATAAGCTCTTAAGAGGCAGATTCTAAAGATCAGACTCTGAAGAATCAACTTCTGATCAAATCATCTTCTGATGATGAGAACCTGAAGTCTCCAGAATCTGAACAAGTTAGCTTCTCAATATTAAGCCACCCTCTAAAGAGTTAGAGTATGATGGATCAGAAGTTAAGACTCAAACTCTGAAGGACCAGAACCTGAACCCAATTAAAGCTCAAGAATCAAGGATTTTCTGACAGGTCCCTATTAGACTATGAGGTCAATTTGTTCTATTCTGTTCACGTGAAGACTTAGCAGAAAGTTGCTGAAGCCTGAAGTTTTACAACTGATAATTCCTTCTGTAACAACGGAATTTCAAATGAGTTTGCAATAACATTAACCATTTGAGGAAGCATTGAAACGAATCTGTTGATGCTTCTTGTTGTACCCCAAAATTTTCCCTCCCATATTCTTCAAGATTTGCCAGGATCAAGCTTCAAAATCCCTCAAGAGTTGCACAGTCCAATTGCCTCCTAACACAGTCAAAATTAGGGTTTTGGTTCTTGCAAAGAAATTGAGGTTTCCAAGGGTCCAATCAAGTCCCATATGCCTATAAACATTGTCAAGCATCCATATGTCAAGTTTCAAGACTCACAGCATCAAGTTGCCCAATCAAAAACCCTAAATGCTCCACAGTCAACTGCAGGGGCAAAATGGTCATTTGACAGTCAAAAGTCAAAATTTTTGGTCAACATCTCATTTTGAAGCCACAATCATCATTTGATCAATTCTTGATCATGATTCTCAAATCATGGCTCAAAAAGTCTCAAGATGCAAAAGTTTCTATTTTTGGACAGTTGAAAAGTCAACTGCAAATTGACCAAGGCATAACTTCTTCATGGTTTATCAGAAAAATTCCAACCAAATCTCATTTTGAAGGGGATGACATTTCCTATAACTCATCTTCACACTCCAAGTCCAAGAAATGCTCTCACAAAAAGTTATTAATTTCAACATTATAGGTCATTTTCAAAAGTCAACAAAAAGGCACTTTAAGTCAAAGACCATAACTTGAGATTGGTAATTCAAAATGACATGGGACCAAAGGCATTGGTTAGAGGACTTCAAGACCTTTCCAAAATGTCCAAGAACATGATCATAGCTTCAAATTTGAGCAAGATATGCATTGGAGAAGTTGGGAAATTTTTGGGAATTTTCAAAAGTCAACTTTGCCTAAAACACTTCAAAGTTGCTAATGGGCCTCAAATTCTTTCTTGAATCATTACCCAAAGCCTATGCACGACCCATTGAGCTTAAAAGGATTTATTTTCTTATTTTTAATTAATTAATTGAATTTTTATTATTATAATTAGTTTTAATTGTAGAAAAATATCAAATAATGCTTTTTCAAATCTTTTTATGCAGCAAATATACTCCAAATATGCTAAAGATTTCGTGCATCATCCAAGGGGACAAGATCTTCCACAATTGGCAAAGTTTTCATGGAAAAAGATTGGAAAATACATGATTGGCAATCAAATATTCCAAACATTAATTCATGGACTTATGGGCTTGCTTTTGACCTAGAATCATTCACATACATATGCATAACCTAACCCTACTGAGGCACACACGAAAAAGCAGCTGAAAGCTCATAACCAATTTGCAACTTTTCAACAAAAACTTTGAAACTGATTTCATATTTGCAGGGCGATTCAAGGCCTCAAAACGTTTCCATTACATTACTGACATTGCTAGGAAGCTATTGGCATCAAGAACAAGTCCCCATACTCAAAGAAACGGTAGAACTGAGTCACGTTTTTCACAAATATTTCCATAATCGAATTTCAATTTCTATGCATCACTATTATGTTTTGATCATTGATTTGCATTACTGATATCTCCCTGAAACTTTTGATATAGTTTAATTGTGCTAAGACTGCTTGAAACGAAATTCACCATGGATGAAACCTAGGGTTTCAGAAGCTTCAAAATAGGGCTTTCTTGTAGAGAAAAAATTAGACCTTTAGACCTATACAGCTGAATTCATAAGCTCAAGACGAAGCAAATGATACCCTCGCGCCCTTTTTATATTTCCTCCTCTTCTAATCGCTATTTTCACAGTTTCAGTTTAGTGGGGGTTTAAAACCCCTGCTACTTGTTTTATATGTTGCAGGAAGAACGAAGAAGAAGTATGCGTGTCCAGGTGTGATTGGAAGATTCAAACTTTAGCGCGTTTTTTAAACGTTCCAACATAATTGTCCTTTTTCATATATTATATTTACTATCCATTATATATACAAATGCGTTTGGCAGCTCAGTTGGTGGATGACACGCTTGGCAAGCATAGGGACCTGGGTTCGATTCCCAGGTCCCCCCACATATTGCATAATTTTTGTTTTAACATATTCACATGCAGCAATGTTTCAGTGGTCCACCATACGTACCACGCTTAAGACTGCCACGCGCTCTTGATCACTCATCCAATGGCCACAGATTGAAGCCTATGGTACACTCCAGTCAACCACGCGCACACAAGCATGGAAAGTCAAACGAGCCTT